GTGGGCTCACCCCCATCTTCACAGATGATTCAGTGGCTGACCAGCAGAGTGGGTTGCGTTTTTGTCACAACATCTCGAGGCCTCTGGCAACTTGTGATGGGCACATTTCCAAGGCCCTGTCTCCTGTGTCTGGCTATAGCATAGAAGGCCAGCACTGACGACGGCTGATTCGACTCGGGAGTGAGGTCTCACTATCCCACAGTAACATTAGCCCACGCATGGCACATAGCCACAAGCAGGCCACACACTCATGGCTGGGTGCTCCCAGTTCAATTTGTGTAGTTACTACTTATGCTGAGTTTCTTACAAACGCAACCAAAGCAAACAGTGAGGTTTTTGTATTATTGTCAAATCTTAGCTCATGAAATAGAATTAAAAACAACGACTATAGTTGTGTAACGTTAGATTAGAAATTACATTTTTTTAAAACACTCCTGTATTCACTGTTCTATATTGTATTGAAAGATCTTGTAATAATATATGGAAACTGAAAGATTATCCCAAAATGTCTGATGATTACTTGAAATGGATTTCAGAACTACACAGCAAGGAGTAAGCATAGAAGTGATACTGATTAGGGCTGCACGGTATTGAAAAAAACTGACATCGCGGTTTCCCCCCCCCCCCTGCGGTATATATTGCGGTTTTTTTAACCTGTTAAACCCGGCGGGTACTTTACTTTTTTTTTTCACGACAGTGTCTCAGGGGATCGTAATATTTAAGAACCTATTAATGTGTTATACCAGATTAACGGAAATAATCTCAGCTAACTGACGATACAAACCATTTTATACCAAAAAAAAAAAACACAATTCTCATAAGAAGCATCTAAATGACCCCTGAGCGAAAAATGCTAACGCACTTTGGCACAGAACTCAAGATAAAAGTACCCTTATTATTACTTATCGTAGCTGCACTTACAAGATATCCGATTAAAACTGAGGTTCCACAGATTATTTAGGTATATAGTATCATCACTGAGTGATCTGAACTCGGACAGGGCAAGTAAACACAGACATCACAACACGTACCTTTACGTAGCTTCGATGGGAGATGTCTCACCGTAGCTGTCAATCTGATCAAAAGACGTGTTCAATGGCATTAAAACGAGAAAGAAAAAACACGGCTGAATCGGTTAATCCATAGGTTTTTAACGTCTCTGTATAAAAAAAGGATTTAATTTATAATCCATAATTCCATTTTTATGTAAATATCGCAGAGCAAAAGTTAGCTGCTAATGGTAGCCACCATAGTGGCTGCTGCTTCCGGTCTTGGCTATGCGGAAGTCTCTCACACACACATTACCAAATAAGGACTGTGTGATTTCCCCTCGATTCCATTGGCTCTGACGGTCAGAAAGAGATGTCACATGTCAAAATCCAGCAAGGTGGGCCAGAGATATGGAAAATCCACCCAAATGGCCCCAAAAGAGGTTTTTTTTTTGTGCTAAATCTGTCTAAAAAGGTCAAATATCAGGGGAAGTTCTACACACACCAACACATGAACAAATAAGGAGTGAGAGTGATGACGCGTAGCCAAAACCGGAAGCTGCATACCACCAAGGTGGCTACCATTAGCAGCTAACTTTTGTGATCCGATTTTTACATAAAAATGGAATTATGGATTATAAACAATTGCTTCAAAGCCACAGATACATTATCAACCTATGGATCAACCGATTCAGCCGCGTTTTTTCTTTCTCGTTTTAATGCCATTGAACACGTCTTTTGATCAGATTGACAGCTACGGTGAGACGATCTCCCGTAAAAGCTGATGTCTGTGTTTGCTTCCCCTGTTGCGAGATCGGATCGATTAGATACTATACTTAAATAATCTGTGGAGTCTCAGCTTTAATCGGATATATTGTATGTGCAGTTTCGATAAGTAATAAGGGTATCTTTATTTTGAATTCTGTGCTAAAGTGCGTTAGCATTTTTTTTTTTTAAATGAATAAAACCGCACGTCCCTGCGGTGTGAATACCGCGCATGCGCATACCGCGGTTATCGCCATGACACGGTATATCGTTCAGCCCTAATACTGATACTAATATTTTGACAAATAACTACCAACAAACGGCTTATGACATCTTTCTAAGAGGTGTTTTAATCTCTCTCAGTCTGCCAGGTTACAAACACCGGCTGGTAAATATAGCAAAGCAGTAGAATATAAAAACAAGCACAAAGAACATGAAAACATTAAAATGGGTGGTCTAATGAAAAAAGGTAATGAACAAAATGGAAGAAAATATACATACCCATCAGCACAGACAACAGCTAAGTACATAAGCCATTAGCTGGGCTTAAACATTGACAGAAACAGACTGATTCATCCGTTACCCATTTAGCTACAAACCAAACGGCGAGAGCAGGAAAAAACTTGGGGTGGGGGGATTAAATGGATGGAAGCAGTGAATCATACTGTAGCCAAAGTCATATCTAAAAAGGAATCATCTCAGGTAATGACCCCAAGACAACAGCTTCCTCTGTGACTCAGAATAATTGGTCCAACAGAGCGTTAATACCAAGCCGAGACTGGGATAAAGAAAACCAGAACAAAGAATGAGGTGTCCCTGCAGTTTCTCCAACTAAAAGGTCAGAAACTAAGGGGTCAGCCATCGCTCTGAATCCTTTTCACTGTCACCACAGTCTATCCTCGTTCTGTCAGGGCCCGGACCCCTCCAGTGGTTTATGCTCCTCACTCTGCAGCTGTCATGATATTTACACACCTCCTCAGACACAAGACACACATAAGATAGGCCTTATTCACAGAGACGCTCAAACAACAGTCATTGAATGAAGAGCCCCTACATCAAATAATGTACAATTCATATCGCTTGTGCAGCAGTCACATAAAATTGCCATATGCGCTTTGGAAAGGCACTTAAACACCCACAATAAAAGGAAGAACTGCATTTAGTGTAAATTTCCAATAAGTAAACTAACATAATAATAACTATGTTCGTTTATTTGTGGGACCTATCATTCTTCATGCAAACATGAACAAAATACTTCTCAATTTACACAGTATACTTCTCAGCAGTCCAGATAACTGTAAGTTATGTCAGTTCTTCTGATTTTGCAAACAGAATTACTTTGCAAAACCCAAATCAAATATAAAATACTTATTACATGTTTTAACACATAGTATGGGTTTTACCATCACCTGCGGGAGAAGTCTGTCTAAGGCAAGCTAACCATGCTAGCATTAGCAACTGCACTCACACTCTGCTCTCCATGGTCAAAGAAAATAACTGAAGTAATAAGCCATTATATTTGCAAAGACATACAGCAGATTTAAATATAATGGCTACAGATAATGATATGACCCTGAAACTGATTGCGTAATATAAGTTTCCAGCAGCATTTCAGTAAAAAATACATAAGTAATTGGGACTGGCCAAAAACTTTGGCTTTGTATTTCACTGCACATTATTTGTTATGTTGATTCAGCAGTTGGCAGTTTTTTCTTCAATACTTGATAGATTTTGGCTTTTTTGTCATTCATAATTTTGGTTTGTAGCTGCTGCTATTAAAACCTAATATCATTTAGTTAATCTGAAACAAAAAATCGTATCCTTTCTAAAGAAATGATTTGTCACTGTATATCTACTTGTCATGTATCTGGGTTAGGACAGAAACACTAATACCTCTAGTGCAAAAGAAAACCATTTGAAAAACAAAGTCACTGCTGTGTGTTATTTGATACTTGTTATTCCTCCTCATCGTACATTTCAGCCATCATGACCATGCAGTGTCTCAAATTGGTCCGAGCAGCAGGGTGGTAATGATGTGAACCAGATAGGAACAGCAGCATTTTATTCCTGTAGTTCTTATTGAAGCAGGGTAAACACTGACACGGGACAAGTACAGGTAATCAGGTAACCTTTGTGGGAGGTGGTAAGGTAACCGAATTCCATGAGAACAACACCCCCCACAGCCCGACAACCAGCTACATTTGATCTCTTAGTGAACAAAGCCTGATTCAGGGAAGGGATGTTCCACTGTGGAAAATGACACGACAGCTCGTTTAGGGCAGTGCTAATATTAGCAAGTCTTATCTCGACAAACTGCATGAGACTGAGGAAATGACGGAAAGATATCACTGTGGGTTCAATGCTTTCCCCCAGGAAGTGACTTAAAATTAAGCAAATCAAACTGATGACGATCAAAATGACAGGGAAATCACCCTGGCTTGTCAGCGCCACTCAATCTCCTTTTGATACTGACGACAGATGAAGGGGGGATATCACCCTATATCCTGGGCCCAAGCAGAATAGGCTGCTATCAAAACCGAGAGAGATGTTGTTCCTGACTAACAACACCTGTTGCATGTGAAACGTGTTCCTTAAGCAGTGTTGCTAAGATATTTCCGTATGTGTTGTTTCAATACTTATCTGAGTATGAGCATATTTCGTTTAGCATCGGAAACAAGCCACCAAACGTATCGGGTTTCATAAAAGAGATTCAGCCACCTCTTGATTTATTTATTATTGCCTGTGACAGACACACACCCTTTTCTCCAGGCTCTGTTGGTGTACATATCAGACCGAATACTACATCCGTGGTTCCCCGTTATGCTGGTCATGTGATACACTATGTCAGTGCCTAGTGTTACTACGTTATTAATTGTTTGAGTGCTTTGAATTCACCTATTAAAATGTCTTTGATTAAGTCCGTGAATGTTGTTCATTTTAAGGCATCAATATTCATGGATTAGCCAAAAGCCGCCCAGTGATGCATGATAATTATACACTTTTTTGGCAAGCACAAAAACGGCTAGCACATGTTTAATGGCTTCATTTTCCTTATCCCAATGGACAAAATATGCAACTGAAGACCTTAAGGCCAACAACAGATAACAGACAAATATACTTCTAACAAATTCCTTTCAACTGTAATTACAAGGTAGATGGCCAGAAGGCAGTTTGGGCATAACCAACTTCATGTGGCGAGCGTGAGTAAAAGCAGAGAGACATGAGGGCAGAGGTATGCTACAGTACCTGCTGGGGGCCATCCCCATTGACCATGGCTGGGGGCGGGGGTGAGGCCAGCATTGGGAGTTCAGGGTTGAGAAGCTGGCCGGACTCCAGAGGTGGGGTGTGGTCTGCCATATCTCCCTCATTCACACCACTGAAGAGGTACTCCTGCAACAAACGCAAACAAACGATTAGGCACACACATATTTTTTGATACCGCCAGTACCTCACAAAACATGTTTTCGATTATAAGTCGCTATGTGAAACAGGGTGTTTCTCAATGTAGAGTACGCTTCCTTGGTAGCACATGTCTTCCGAATCACTTGCTTCAGAAGCGAGGCAAGAATACTTCCTGGCATTCGGAAAACGAAGTATGGAACAGGCTAGCAAGTGTGCAGGTGTGCGTCATATGAGAGGCCCAGCCTTACATTTTCCGCCACAGATTTGGGGAAATTGGTCCGTGCGCAAAGCATTGTGGGGATTTTAAGACCGCGGAGTCTACAAATGTGCAGTCTCGAAATTTCTCCAAACGAAGTACGCCGGGCTCGGTAGATTTCCAAGTATGCTGGATATTGGAACAGTACTTCGGCGGCACTCGATGACGTAGTATGCGTTAAATAGTGGCTCTGGAGCAGCTTTACTCGAGATTGAGAAACACCCACAGTCTGTGATGGACGAGAGTGAACATGGAACGCACATGCACACTACCGCCGCCTGCTGGTAAGGAGAGTTATTGCCACTCACGCATGCGCAGTGCGTACGTGCTACTTTGCCGTTGGCTGAAGTCTGTGTGGTGTGTTCCAGTGCGACTTTTTGGCCAAGACACAGGAGACGTGAGGTGACACAACAGGCGGGTCCGTCGGGACGTGTTTTTTGGTGTCAGTTTGGTGCGTCAGGGCCTTTACAGCAAGTCAATAGATCTCTGCTGAGAACTACCTTTACCCAGAACACCACAGGATGCAGCTTCTCCCTCCCCTCTCTTATAATATAGTATGAGAACATTATCACTTTTATTTGTCAAATGTTGGGATGTGGGTGATTGCTGTTATTATGAAGTAGACAAGAATTGTGTATTATATATATTGTGTGTATATTAGTCGAATAAATTATGATTGAAGTAAAGTATAACTGATTTATGTTTCACAGGGATTTTTAATAATACTGCAAAATTGGTAACTGTTCTTGTTGTTATTACATTGGAAGATGGCTATTTAGCAATTAACAAATCTACATCAACCAATATGGATTATGCATAAGCTCATGTCAAACCGTAGCAAAGTATGTAGGTAAAATACAGTTCCTGTTCAAAACTTCAATTATATAAGACTGAAAAGGGACCAAGCTGAGACTGAAACAGATGAATACATGAAAAGATAAAGTTGCTTAGAGAATTAAAAAAAACAATGACAGAACACCATGAGAGAAATGTAACATGTGTCCTTGAACCTAATTACAATCTAACGCATGCGCCCCTGATCCTCACTGTGATCTGGCTTATCGGTTAGCTTTAGTCCCTCCCCTCCTTAAGCTTAAATAACAAAGTCAGTTTACAGTGTGATAGTCAATGAACTGGGCTTGAAGGAACTATTGCTACAGTAGAGGACTGACATGTGATTAGCCCAGTATTATTAGATGATGGCAGGCTTCTTGTGTGGTTTTTGGGCCTCCAGGTCAACCACAGCAGTCGCTTGGAGTATTACTCTATAACACAAGACAATTTCAAGTATATTTATGTTGAAGTCTAAATTAATGTTTCAAACACACAGTTCAACTGCTAGCTAAGCTTCTGAAATAGAGAAGTAACCTTTATCACAGGCACTCCCTTTGTTTATATTTGCTCACATTTGAAACTTGATAAGCCCCACATTTGCGTTCTATTCTCAGACTGAAAATTATAATGTGAGAGGTAATTATCCTGAATATGATATTTGATTATGGTGAATGGGTGATATTATGTGTTTTCTTTACTACAGTTATGAAGTACTTGCGTTGAGTTAACTTTGGGGACTGCATGAATGCCAAACTTACTGTGAATTACTGTGAATGACTTCCTGTGAACATTCTGTAAGGTGTAGGTATCACCTCTGAAAACACCATCTAACACTGGCATTAAACTCTGGTTGCATTACACTGAAATCTGTGCATAGGCGTATCTGTTGTAGCAGATTACAAGATAACTTCTATATGGAAATTATTGTACCATCTGTTGTTGACGGTAGATCATATTTGACTGTGGCTGAGAGACCAGTCAATTAGGACACAACAGCTGTCTTTCAGTTTTGGTCAAATAGGGAAAACACCCTGAATCCGAATAATAGGACATTGTAACTAGCGAACACTTAATACATATTTTCTTCATGTATTATTAAAAAAGGCAAAGAGATTAACAAAACGATGATGATAATAAGGGTCCATGTGTATTATACATTATATTAGGTCATCCATTTCTTAATACGACTAAGATTGATACAGGTGTGAGCCAATACTCTAATGTGACATTTATCTGGAGAAATTGTTTCCTAACACTGTGTAAAAGCTGATTCTGTATTGAGTGTATGTATTTCCTTAACATTACCCACTATCTGTGCTTTACATACGTTCTAACAACTACAAGCATACTTTTGTAACATATCCCACAAGTAATACTAACGTCAATGTTCAGAGGTAATGCTCTTTTTATTCGCCTAAGTTAACTAGGTTAGCTTGTTGTAAGTGTTTACTCTGGCTACAAGTGTATGTGTACGTGTGTTGTGTGCTTAGCGTTGTGTCATAGTTGTTGGTTATCTAACAGCTAACTCACAAACAATACAGTTTAATTCGGGTCCTTTAAGAGACACAGGTAATACACCATATGTTGTCTGTCAGCAACATAAGTGGGTTATTATCAGCTAGCGTTACTCACTCAGTCAGCAGGCACAGCAGCAGCAGTCTGTGTGACACAGTGATGATTTATCTGCAGCTTTCCCCGAAATGTTTTACGTCAGCAACCACCGGTGAACTGCTGCTTCCTGCAACACCTGAACCGAAAACCTTGCTAGCTACCTGGATAAACACACGCAATATATGACATGCTAGTGTTAGCTACCCTAATGCTACCTTAGCTAATAGTAAGCGATATGAAGATGTGCTTCTCTCCTAATGTGAACGTCGATCGTCCGTATTGACTACACCTCAAACAGATCGGCGTGACTAGCGAGCGACGGAGACGATGCTAAGAACCGATAATGTTAGCCTGATTGCCAGTTTATCGAGATAACTTTCCATCCAACCCTGCACCTCGCATAAAAGTCAGGAATTTCTCCATCGATGCAGGGCTCTGTGCGCATGCGTGATACTGCAAATCATGACGAATCCCAAGTGCCCAGATAGCAAATACAACTATTTATAATAGATACAACTTCAGGAAGAGGACATTTTATTAAACTTAAAGGTTTTGGATTTGATGCAATATATATGTTTTTATACAACTAATTTTATTTGTGCGAACATTTCACAATCAAAATGGACTGACACTAAACCAAATGTTGAAAATGTTTACTTAGAGTTACAACAACCAAATGTGTATTCGATTCATATTTTTACTTGAAATTATACCTTTTGTTTTTATCACAATTGTCTTTATATCTTATATGTTTATTTATTTATTTATATTATTTTTTCTTTATTTTGTTTAACTCTGTATGTAGCCTACCTGTGTACCCCTGATGTCAATGTGTTGTGTGTATACAATGTTTGATTGACATATGGATTTAAAAGGGTGGGGGGAAAAGGGGGAAATAATATTTATAATATTGTCACGTTGTTTCGCTTTTGAATGGTTCCATCAGCATTCAATAGTGTGTACAGTTATAATTAGCCCATCTGTACAGTTATAATTAGCTTCATCTGTCTATGTAGATTTTCATGATTTTAAGGAGGACCTTAAGGTTGTCGTGTGTGTGATCGTTTTATTTCACCAAGTCAGTCACAGAGAAACATTTTGTATTGGTTTATTGTGGTGAAACTATACAAGGATCCCATTGGATTGACATGGATGTGATCATATTAGTTTCAGTTCTGCCTGAACAGCCAACTGGCCCAATCCTTATTGGAAATATCCGGTCCACCTTAACAACATCATATTACGGTTTCTAGTCATATCGTGTGTTCAGCCTAGAGTATAATAATTCCTATAGAACGAAACTATTAGCACCACTAAGTAGACTGGACATTTGACATATCATTTCAACACTACAAGTGTGCATGTAATAAATGATGTCCACATGACTCGCAGCAAAGATTACATTTGAAGATTTTTCTGGGTCTTTGATTAGATTCTTATCACGGCCCAAATCTATATTGTTTTGGTTGTGCATGGGTGGTCAATTTATATGGCGCCATCTCCTTATTATACAAAGTCCCAGGGACTTGTTACTGTTGGACAGGGAACAACACTGAGAAACATCACAATTCAGTATCACATCAAAATACCTAATTTGAAGGCAAATTCACTATGGCATCATGTCTTGGTTGTATGCAGTCCTTTACATGTTGTGGTATGTTGCAGTGCCAAAATGTACCTTAGAATGACAGATCATTTGTTTACAAGTGTATTTAAATTACTATAATCCATTTTACAATTTGTATAGTATGCTTTAGTTTTAATCAAGAAACACTTGAACATGCTAATAAGTCATATTATAGCAACTGCTTTTCCATTAAAACGTGCAAATTATTATTTTTGGGAAATATCCTCCAGAGACACACCCATTCATTTTTGTCCTCTGTGGAGAACATTGGGTTTTGGTCCATTACTTTGAGGATATACCGCGATATACATGCCACAGCATTAAGTCCAATTGTACTCCACTGGGCTTTTCAAACATATGACATATGTGGGGGTGTGGCTTTGAAAAAGATAATTTCATTGTATTTCAAAATGGCGTCCATCAACACAAGCACTATTTATAGAAAGATAAATGGTAAGTTTGTAATTTTGTAATTACCAGGGTTGTGAGTTCAATATTTTTAATTAAGTATAGCATGGGAACATCTTAGGAGTTAGCGTAGTGAGTTTTCAGAGCAGTGAAATACTTATTTGACCTACAACTAAATGATTTTATGAATGTCCTCTGAGGAGGACATGGGGATTTGCTAACTTTTTATTTCCCCCATTTTACACAACACAAATGGAGTCCACTATGGGCCAAAACTAACACTTAGGTTTCTGTAGGGTTCATGACAGATTGATGCAGTGGGAAAACATACATCAAGTGCCTCAAGTGTCAGATGTATCTCTGCATTTCAAAAAAGGATGGAGTACTACAAATGAGGACTCAATATGTGTTGCATTGAGTTGTTGTGCTTGTCTAAATGTACTTGTATGTTAATGTTGTTTCAACTTGTTTGTATACTATGCTTCGCATAACTAACACCCGATGTGGTGGACACACAATAAAACAAAAATAAAAATATATTTGTGTGATAAAAAAAAAAAGGAAATTTGAAACCTTTTTATTTCTGGGTCTCAGGAATGTTACGTGACACGCAACACACATGCAAATACAATATGAGTTTGTCAAAGTGAGGGACTTTTAAGCTTTGGCACAAAAGTGCCATGTGTCATGCTGCATGCAGTATCAGGCATAGCTCCACCTGCTGGTTACTTTGGCTTTTTTCTTGACAATTGAATTTACAGTTTTAATGATATACTTACTTTTACATCAAAAGCAGGTGGTAGTCTGGTCTAATCTCTAATGTGCACCTATACTGTGGGAAATAATTATATTTCTATGAATACTAAAAAGATCCCCTTACAACATAAAAAATGTTAAACTCATTATCGTGTTGTTAAAACAATTTTTCTTTAAATGGTGAGTTTAAATCCCCACACAAAGTATTCCAATTTGTTTGTAAATCAATTATTCAATACAGGAGACTGATGACAGTTCAAATCAGTACAGAAAGTGCTTCTTAAATAAGTGTCAAGATTGTTCACTAAGTGCTTTGCTGCCACAGAGTTACTGAAAATCTATATGTATTTAGAAGAAGTTGGTTTCGCATAATGTGAAAATGTTCCAAGAAGAAATATATTGTATTTTCAATCATTCCTCTCAAGTGCACCAACATTCTTTTGATCATTAGTGGTGTTGACAACATACAATCAGGGAAATTAGTCTGGTCTGAATTGTGATCCGAAACATCAGCAGATTAGTTTATTGTAAATCATTCACAATCAAATGGCAAAAGCAATCAAACATAAATAATTATGATTATTATGCAATTACAGTTTAGTGGTGTGGATAATGTGTATCAGAGAAATGGAATGGAGATCAGGCTGGTGGATGGGGAGTTTGCAAAGTAAAGTGGATGTTTTATCAATACCATTACAATCTGAATGTTGATGCAGTACCATACAATACAATATGTGCTTTTACAAATACATATTCTTTAAAAAAAATTATAAAATGTTTTAGTACCATATTTTAGAGCACTGGTCAGCAGTGTTCAATTGACTCATAAACCATTTCACAGTGGAAACCACGAGGCATTGCATTTTCAAAGAAGCAAGACTACCCCAACAGGACAATCCCCAGAAATGCTGCTAAATCAGGCACCCAGCAGTAAGTCAGCTCATTGACCACTGCTGGAGGCTTCTAGTGGGGAAATAATGTACAAATTAATGTCACTTTATTTGTAGTTGCTTTTTCGTTTCATGGATTCGTTTTTATCGTTTAGTTTTTGTTTTTTTTAATATTCAGAATACATACATTTGTATTTGTTTAGCAGTTTGTATGCAGATATTTGCTTCATGAAACATCTACAATTACAAAGGCTTTTACAAATTGTTATCTAATGGTAATGAATATTTCTGGCAGCTCCGACTGTCATTGAACGCACCATCGAACTACAGGAAGTACGGTGGCGGTGTGTTTTTGTTCAGTCAGTGCTTTAGCGCTCACAGCTAACTACAACAAGGCTCTTCCACAAACAGCAGCTGAAGTGAAGCTAGACCAGTACCCGATTAACAAAATGAGTTCATCAACAACTTGATTCCTCAATATGTTGGCTGACAACTTTGTGTTGTTTCAGTGTTCAATGCTAAGAAAACGACACCGCGGATGAAACATTAGCTAGAACAACGTCAAGGTAACTCCCAGCAACAACAACACTCCTTACACTAATTGGCTTAATACTTTGTATGGTTGAGTTATACAGCCAGGCTACCGCTAATATGGTACATTAGCAACCTTTATATTGCTAGTTTGTCAAACCTGTCTGCAAGTCTTACAAGGCAACATAACCCGGTGCTTGTGCATTGTTTATGTGTGTCCTCTTTGGCATTTAAATGTTTATTATACCATAAAAGCCTGTATTCATGAGGTCTGGGTTACAAGTGCAACTTGAACTGAGACACAAACACTGTAGTTTTGACAGATTAGCAGTTGTCATTTTAAAAATCAAAGAAAATATGTGTAGTAAACCTCAATTGAACTTCTCTCCTTCTATCAGCAAACACAGTAAATGGGTTTATGTCAATCCACGCGCATGTCATGTTTTAATCTGTCAACAATGCTGGCCTCGGTGCCAACTTTCTGTCTGAGCCGAGCACTTCAAAGACTGGGATAAGCTTGTGGGTAAATAACCATCTCAGTTTTCAATGTATACATTGGTTGCTACAGACTGGGCAATATTTGATTTCCAGTTTGGTGTAGTATCCCTTTGGTGTTATCATAACACTGTTATGATTGTGATTTATTGTTGGCAGATGTTTGCCATTTGTAATCTTTACCATAACTGCACTATAAAAAAATATAGCAGTAAAAGTATATATTAAATTGAGAATGTATTTACCAGAGTAAGAATGGTTATAAAAGAAAACTTCACCATACTCCTGTTTGACTGGGCACTTAATTTACACTTTAAATCTACTGTTTATTTCAAAAGTTCACTAGAATTAATAAATTACAATACATAAGTTAGATCAAATAAAATACGTTATTATCTTCCCACATTTCCTGCTTTTGTACACTATATTTTAAACACAATTGATGACTGGATATACAATAATTTACATCTGTTTATCTGTGTTTTCTCCTCATTTCACAGCTGAGTATGCTGGACGTGGGGAAGTGGCCAGTGTTTGCGCTCCTTCCTCCAGAGGAACTGCGGCTTATTCGTCAGGCTTGTGTCTTTGGCAGTGCTGCAAATGAAGCCCTCTATGTCACAGTTAATGATGAGGTAACACTTTAGCTTAAAGCAAAAGTGCTTTAATCCTCCTTTAAACCTGAACTATCCACCCTGCTTTCATAATAGGGATTTGATTATTCTGTTTAA